CAATTGTAGTGCAATCCCTAACAAGTTTTTGGCAAATCCCACAAGCCAAAAGCCTTTCAATGGTTGCATGCCGAGTTTGAAACTCATCTTTCACCTTAAAACGCTCTTAATCTTCTAGAAAAAGAAAAAACATTAAAGATTCCAACCCAAAGCCCGAGCCTCTTTATTACTACATGTCGCTCTATAAAAATAAATTTGCAAAAAGGGTGAGTAAAAGGGAAAGATTTTTGAGATCATATGAGGAATGAATCAAAAAAATTGGTTGAAGCATTTAAGTGTTGAAAGTTACTCTACTTTTCTTGTGATTGATTTTTATCGGTATCAATCTAGAGAAACAAGTGAATAAAAATGAAAGAAATGAGATTAAGGAGAAATTAATAGAGTTTAAGAATATTTGAAGGAAATGAAGGAGAGGTTAATTAGAATCAGATTTGAGGATCACAGAATGCCAGGTATGACGTCTTTCACATTTTGTTTCAAGGAGAGTTGCTCATACTAGTGTTATTAGACCCAGATTGGACCGGTCGAACCGGCCAGTCCAACCCGGCCTTCTTCCCGAATTAGTTTGTAGCACAAAATCGCTTTGGTCAAAAAACCAGTCAAAATCATCAAAAAACGGCTAACCAGTGACCCAATTCGACTGGTTGACCCAGTTCTCAAACTTTTCTTTCTTTTTTCCCAAACATAATTTGAATTAACTAAATTGTAACACTTTCATTTATTAATAGGAGTATGAAAATGCCACCCACTTAGTGTAAACACCAACATTACTCACTTTCCTAAATGATTTCTAAATCAAGATGTTTTACCCCTATCATTTTATCGATTTAGCATCAATGATTCCAACTTGCATTAATTTGTTTTAATTTAGTTTTTCAAGTAGTTTTGAAAAATGGACATATTTTAGGCATGAATTTACATTTTTATATATAATTATTAGGTGTATATTTGATTATAAGTCTAATATTTTTGGATTATTTTGTATGATTGGCCGAATATAACCAAGAACTTAATTTCAATATTTCTGAAACTTATAAAAATATAAAATAATTATGACATCATGCTGACGTTAGCAAGTTTTTGAGAACGGTCAGACCAATCCAACCAATTGATTCCTAATCCAATAGTTTAGCCGAATCGCTAGCCGGTCCGAGTATAACAACATTGACTCATACTGCTCTATCTCCATGAAATGTGGTTGCATTATACATAATCTAGTATTTAGCAAAGCGGGAATGGCAAGTTTATAGCTTTGAACTCTGAATTTATAGGTGGATAAGATTTAGATTCTCTTGCTCTTGATTGCTGTTAAGCTTTTATTCTTCACAATCATAGACTGAACTAAAGGAAGGGCAATTGAGGTTTTTCACCCGCTAATTGGAAATTTTCAAGAATATCCTTGATAAAATAAACTTTTTCCCCATAGAAAAGTTTGAAAATATTCTATGTAGCGTACTTCGGCACATCAATGTAAATTGTCTTGTTCTATCAAGGTTAAAAATTGTTTATGTGGATCCATCTTATTTTGTTAAAAATTGAAGTCTAGCATTGTAAAAATTGTGATCTATATGGCAAGCAAGTGAATGCTTGAGATTTAGCCATCAAAAACAAAGAGGAAAGTTTAATTTGAATTTCTTCCTACAAAAAGTTTTAAACATAGAAAATGACTTTGATACACAAATCATTTTTGGGCATAAATAGTGAGATATTGACACACATACAATCTTGCATTGTAGGGGTGAGTAGCTTAGTCAAAAAATTGGCTCGAGTTTACTCACTTCAAACTTGAGTCGAACTTGAGGTGTTCAATAGGCTTGATGAGCTAATCTTGAGCATGTAGATACTCTGCTCAAATGCTCATTGAGCATTTCGAGCTTTTTTTCCTTTTAAAATATATCATATGTAAAATTACAAAAAAGTCTATACCTCTTGAACAAATTACATCTTGTAACCATTCTAACTTTAAAGACTAAGTGGCCAATATCATCTAATCATATTTGTTTTAAAAAAAACAAAGATGCTAAAGTCTCTCTATTATTGAATATTTCAATCTTTCTTCACTACTTGAAAAACACTCCCAAATTTTTACCCCTTCTCTCAACCCCTCAAAACCTCACCACTATTCCACACTCCTTTACTCCTTCCCTCTCACAAATTCATCGCTCCTTCATCACCACCTCTCTCACTACTAAGCCCTTCTAGCATAGGTGCCACTGCAACTATCAAAACGCTTCCTTTGTTATAGATCTACCACCTACCATACCAAAGAGCCTTCACTATTGCCGATCTAACGTCACTTTAATGCTCACTCTCTATTGTTTGTGTTTGATGGATTTTGTTTTAAAAAAAGGAAATCCTTAACAAATGAGAGAAGAGACTTTGATTGATTTTTTAATGTTTATTTTTTGGGGTCTCTCCTTAATCTGATAGGAAGTGTTTTGATTCATCATTTGGCTAAATTGGTTAATATCAGATATGGTGAGAAAAATGGAAAAAGAGCAAGAAAAAAGGAAAGATAAACATGGACTAAATTTTTTATTTTAAATTACTGGGGGCACTAATATAGAAATTTTGATGTATTCGAACTTGAACTCAAGTATAAGTACATTGGTAATCACCTCAAGCACGGGTACATCAGTAACAAACTTGAGCAAGTAAGTGATAGTTGAGCTTTATCCATGTCAATACCATCAAAAAGAAAAAGGAAAGGTTAATTTTAATTTCTTTCAAGGAAAAGTTTTAAAAGATGGAAAATGATTTTAATACACAAATCATTTTTGGGTATAAATATTCAAATGTTGACACCCATACAATCGTGCATTACATATCATGTAAGAACTAGTTATAAACACATGCCTTGCGCGAATAATGCTTATGGTTATTTGATTAGGCATTCAAGTACAATTGAGATATCACTTTCTTGAGCATATGATTAAGCACAATTGTTGAATGAACAATTGTTGAAAAACACACACCAAAACCCTAGTATGCACAAAAACCCTAATTTATGCCCTTCTTTTAGAAAAATTATAACTTGAGTTATAAATATCAAAACTTTATATAACTTGGCTTGTTAAAAAAACTAGACTTCAAATACTAAGAATCTTTAGAAGACACGTCAAAGAGATTTAGTTCATAAGTTGGTCCAAATTGAGCCATAAGCTACTACAACATTTCTATGTTTACATGTGCAGGGCAGAATTTTCGGTCAACTTTGCTAATTTCCTAGAATTTATAGACATTGAATCAAACTCTAAATTTTACACTGTAGGAAGCTCTCTGAGTCTAGTTTCAAACGGAACTCAATTCCGACTTTTCTATACAAAGTTATAGCCAATTTCCCAAAACTCCGCAGAGCCTCCTGCGAAAATTTCTAAATTTTCTAACAACTTGAGATTATGAAACTTTTCTTAACAAAATTCACTCCCTTGGCTCAAACTCAACAATTAAGCAACCAAGAATCAAAGGCAAGTGAGTTCACATAAGGGTTATAAAGACAAGTGAATTTTCGGGGTCTCACATCTAGTCTCGGGGGAGCCTTAAATGCCTGTGGCGATTGAATGGGACATAAGTATTATTGGACATTCATCCCATGTTATGGAGCGTACGTCTAGGTGTTTAGGATATTGGATGTTCGGGCGTTAGGGATCTTTTTTTTCAGAAAAAAAAAAGAAGTTATTTGCACTTCATTTTTCATTATTTGCACTCCCACCATTGGTTATCATAAGTATAATAAATGAAAACTATATGATTAAAATTCTAGTGAGAGTGTGATTAACAAAAATGGGAGCGTAAATAACATTTTTGCAAAAAAAAATTCAACTTTGTTTTTGCTTTTCTTTCTTCCTATCTTTGTTTCTTATCTCATTATTGTTCTTTTATTAATCTTAAAAAAGGATTTTATTTGTTTTCTCTTTGAAAATTGTTTTAAAAAATTCAAAGTAGAAGCATTTATGACTTTGCTTCTTATACTTTTTCCCTTTTTATTGATGCCAATATATAGTTATTTTCTACTAACATGACTAGATTTTAAATTTTGATATTTTATGATTATATTTTTGAAGGAACATAGGCTGTAGGTTCAAGCAATTTAGCATTAGCCTTATAATTTGAACACTTGTAGTCATGAAATCTCATAATTTCTAGCAACAATATATTAAAATTTTATATTATGATTTTTCTTATGGTTTACATATGTGTGTGTATGTATTAGTATCTTATATTTTTTATCTTTTTAAATATATAAAAAAATAAAAAAAAATATGTGGGGCTTACACTCCTTGCCTTAGGGCTTTCACCCCATCTGGGTAAACATTAAACGCCAACCAATGCCGCCTTTTGAACCTAACATTAAAAGCCCAATCAAATCTGGTGGCGTGATTGGTCGCACGAATGGTGAGGGAAGGAAAGAGAGAGAAGGGGTGAAGGGAAGAGAGAGGTAGGAGAGGAGGTGATGGGAGGAAGGAGGGGAGGGAGGAGAAGAGGAAAGGAGGAGGAGGGGGAAGGAGGAAAAAGAGAAAGAGGGAGGAGGAGAGGGATGGCGATAGGAGAAAGAAGGAGGAAAGGGGGTTGCTGGTACTAGTCGACAGTGATAGCGAAGTACCAGCTAATAGTTGCTGCCGACAGAGTGTTAACCAACGGTAGTTCGTTGAGGCGGGAGAGGAGAAAGAAAAAGAAAGGACAAAAAAGAAATTTTTATGTGTTTTCGGGGTGTGCATTTTAAAAATTGTGAAGGAAAAACTTTTTGTGTATATTTTAGGATATGTATTTTAAAACTTTGAGGTATTTAGAAAGTTATTATAGGCAAAATTGTTTTAAAAAAAAATTGTCTATTAAAAACGGGACAAAAAAACTTGCCGTTGAGACAGAGCCATCAATCAATGAACTCCTAATATAATAGAAAACTCAGAACTGGGGTAAAGTGAAATTTGGCTGATACTCCAAGGGCTTTACTTTAATTAACCCATTCATTCAAAATTTTGATCAAATTACAAAACCCGTTTTACTGTATTTCGTGGAATCTCAGCTCTTAGCGTCCACTCTTTTCCATCGCCTCTGATGAACCTCCCTCTCCTGCACACCTCGTCTTTTTCTGCTACTTTAAAACGTTGTCGCATCAATGTCTACAAATTCACCCCACCGAAAATAATCTCCCGCTCCGTTTCTTCACGCCGGCGCCACCACCGTCGTCGTCTCCTCAAACACCACCCGGACGCCGATCACCGCTCTCCTCCAACGGTCAATCAAAACCTCCAAATTGTCCTAACCGTTGACCGACTTTCAAACTCCAAACCAGTGACTTACATATCTGAACTCGTGGATGCTTCTCAGTCGAAGCTCAGTCGGTTCATTTATGCCGCCGACGATGCGTTTGAAAACCTTCGGACTCTTGTAACTGTGGATGGAGCTACCAAACGAGTTGTTGTGTCGTGCCGGAGGTCGACGGTTCATTTTCTAGGATTTGTTTTGCTCTCAAGTTTGGTTATTATTTTTTTTTTAGGGTTTTGATTAAATTGTTAATTGGAAATAGTGATAGTTTTAGTGAAAATAATGGTGGAGTAATTTATAGAAGGGATCGGAGTTTGGGTGGTAGAGAAGTTGCTGTAGCGAAAGTAGATACAAATTTTAGAAAAAACGAAAACAAAAAGAAGGGAAGTGAAAACAATATCTTAATGCTGATGTTGGAGAGCGAAAATGAGATAAAGAGGCCGTTTTGGGAAAGGAGGAAGAAGAGGTCGGCAGAGAAACTGCCTCAATGGTGGCCGGTCTCCAGTCAAGGTCCCGGTTTGCTGGTGGAGAATAAAGAGGAGTATCAGATGATGGCTAACCGGTTAATTCAAGGTTCGCATTATATTTGTCTTTTAATCTATCTATTTCTGGTTTAGAAAATCTTCATTATTTCACTTTCAGTGAATTGTAGTTTCTGGTGGTTTGTTGTTTTTCCTTCTGACTTTGGGTATTTTCTGAAGTTTATGTTCTGCAGACGTGAGTCAATTATAAAGAAAAAGACGAAAGGGCCAAGTACATTTTAATTAACTAAACCATGCAGTTTAGATAAACCCAGAATTCTAGTTCTTAAACATTTTTGGCTGGTAAATTTGGAAACTTATGAAAGTTGTACAAGAGATTTGGACGGATACAAGCACTGATTATGTGGAAGTTCTGCTGACAGAATCAGGATTCAGGACTTCAAGAGAGAGGCTAGAATTAAGTCTTTAACATCATAGTCTTGTAAGAAGTATCAGTTTTGGAAACTTTAATAGTCAAATATATAACACTTAAAGCTTTACTTTGTACATCAATCCTTTTGAGGAGCCTGACTAACCCAGAGTATTAAAACAGGAACTTATAGGTTTGAGCACCAAAATTGGAGATTGGTGAATATGCTTGCAGGATATTTATCTCTTTTTAACCTCTGTATGTGAGCAGAAATAAACTCAAGAACTATTGGCTTAGAAATCAGAGAAGAGAAGATGATTTGATGAGAGAAGAGGAGAGTGTAGGCTTCACGCAATAAGAGAATGAAGTTTTCTGCTGGAAGTTCTTCATTTCATTGAAATTATCAGAAGATCTTTTACAACTGATAGATATGTGAAACAAGACTTCATGGGTAAGAATTTGTAAGTACCAAGCAAACTTCATGACTAGGGTAAACGAATAAATAGCAATGGTGAAAGCTAGTGTGTGTAGGATGTCAAAGTTGTATTTGACTACCTTGTGGAGGCAGTCACCAAATTTGACTTTAAACTTTAGGCTTTGATTTTAAAGCCCACTACTTTCTGATATTACCTTAGAAAAGCAAGCCTGGTAGTTGCTGTCTCTACATGCTGTGACATTGTCCAACATGTGCTGAAATTACAAAAGTAGCCTTAGGCTACAATATACCTGAAATAGCAAAATAAATCTCATAAAGTTCTGATCAATTTTGAAGTGAAACTTTTTTCTGAATTTAGGTTCCTTGTCTTCTACTATTTTCAAGAATTTCTGTCCTACATCACCTAGTGCTGCTTTTGGGCAAGACCCAGATTAATCTGTAAGACTTCCCCCCCTTCTTTTAAAACATTCTTTTTGGTACGACTGTTGGATGAAGTTAAAAGGCTAAAAGGATGTCAAATTTGATTGTACTTTGCTTTTCAATTGCTTTTTGACTTTGTTTATGCATATGCTAATGGTTATTGTCTTCTCACTCTTTGAGAATTTAGACCTAGAAGAGACAATGCATTTTCTTTCCCTTTCTGTTTCGTCTTTCTTTCCCTTCCCCTTTTTTTGTAAAATAATTTAGATAAGGAGTGTTATGCAGTAGTATTTAATAATGTAAAAACAATTTTTTGATACTTTTGTGCATGCTGGATCTTTGGTGAGCTTTTCTTAATTCAGGTATTCAACTGGTTAATGCAAATATGGCATTGACTTCTGAAATTGAATAAGTCATAACTTTTGTGGCAAAATGATAGAAATAAGACAACTTGGACCTAGTAAAGAGTTTATGCCTTGTGGTCTTTTTGAAGTACATACTTGATGCAAGCATCAGGCTTGCATTATGTTAATTGGAGATGACAAGCCCGAGTTATTTGTTGAGCTCTCGAGGAGGAAGTTTTTTACAGATCAATTTGGGGCTGGGGTCCTAAGTCCTTTAACTTATACTGAATCAGGGTTGAGATTTAGGATCGAATCAAATCTTGCATAAACACTACTTAGTTGCTAAATTAGAGAAGTAGACTTTAAAAGAATGGGAAGATGAGGAGACAAAGAGAAGAAATAACTCCAGAAGAATACCAAGATGAGTAGTAGACAAAAGGTTAATATGAAATGTGCAGGAGTTTGAACCAGAACCTTTTGGGATTTTGATACCTCGTCATAAACATAATAATTTTGGTGACTAAAGAGGATATACAAGGGGAAAAAATTGAGTTTGTTTCCATACTGAAGAAAGCTATTGTACTTTGTGCCAGCGTCCATGCTTTTGGATAGAAAACTCATAGACCAAGTCAATTGAGTTTCTTGTTGGATACAGGATAGAGCTCCTCAAAGATAACTAATCTTCTACTTACTCTGTGATGAAGTTGAAGTCACTTATATAGCGCCTGTACAATGAATTTTCTGAATCCATAATCATGGGCCCCATGTATCACTTGGGATAATGAGATTTTTTCAACTTGCAACCTTCTGGCATAGTCCTGGTCATATTAAGCTGAACAAAACTCTTTTCTGTTTTCTGAAATCCAAAATGAGGCAATGTAAAATGTTATTGAGAAACTCTTTGGATGGGCAACTTTTGTACTCCATATCTTGGAGATCTATGAAACTCAGAGACTGAGTAATCTTGAGCATAACGAAACTTGAACCACCAACATTGACGAAAAATGACTAGTGGAAAGCATAATTTAAGATAGTGTGGAAGTAATCATGAAGAATGGATGTAAAGCTGTCTTCAAAAGAAAAAGAAAGATTCAAGGACCACCTTATCCAGCATATAAGTTGAAACCCCAAATTTTCTTTGTACATAAGCATTGCATCATTTTTTTTTTTTTTGGGAAAACTGCTTTTCTATAGTTTTTGAGGTTGTTTTCTGAAACTTTGCCCTTATAACAGCAACATATCTACTATCATCGTCAAAACTTTTGAAAATTGCCCTGCTTTTAGAATTGAAGTTTATCAAATATCTTGTAAAAAATATGATTTTGCCCTCCTAATGTTCTTAAAAGCTATAGTGTTAGCTCCCATGTAGTATCTCAGATATTACCACTAATTATTATCCTTTGGGAGTAGCTTTCCATCAGTTCTCCAGTAACTGGCTTGTTTATATCTTTTCATCCTTGTTAAATACAATTTCTCGGATAACATGGATTTTATATTGTTGTAGTTAAGAGATTGTCTTGTTGACCATATATCTTTCATGTCTCTCTTCTAGATGAACTTTTGAATTGTTTGCATGTCTGGAATAGTCTTTGGATGTAATTTCAAATTCTATAGTAGTTCTTCAAATTTTTAAAGTTTTCAAATGCTTCGTTTTGGCAACCACAGCATCAGAGGTTGCTTATACATCATTTGATCTTTAAGAGTTTGAATAGCAGCATAATAGTTAGCGATGAAAATGGCTGAGATATAGGACTGAGGAGGGACAAACAATTTTCCCTGAGTTATTAAGAGCATATGTTTGGTTTTTATACTAATGAAAAACCAGACAAGGATAGGAAAAAGGTTTGATTGGTGAAAAATACTCCACAGTTGTATATTTAAGTGAGTTCAACTTTCCAGGTTTATAACTGAATGTCTATCTTCAATGCAGGTAAAGACCTATATTTCTCAAACTTGCAGTGTTGTGGTCATACATTTCTCTTCGAATTACAGCTTATACATTTCCTTTCCAGCATCATGGACAAAAGAATCAGAGGGGAAGACATTTCAATGGATGATATAGTCCAAGTTAGTAAGTTTATCTTGTATTAGATTACATTATCTTTGTGTGCATCTGTTAATAAGAATTTGCGTGTGAACATGCTTAAATATGATAGACTTGCAGACATTAATTACAATGTGCTTGTATGCAGTTAGATAGTTCTATGCTTGGATTCTATAATACTGATGCCTTGGTCATTTCCATTACATTTTACAGTAATTGAAATTGATTAATTAGTTAATCGAAATTATGGCAATAACTGTGCATGGACGTTATGAATGTCCTGTGCATTTGGATTTCTATCTAATAGAATATGAAAGGTATTAGATGGTGCAAGTTTCGTCTCATTGGAGAAGGCATAAATTGGTATGTCAAATTTAAACCATCAACTGCATCCCCTCAAATTTATGAAATTTAAAATAGCACTACAAGTTGGAAATTGAGTGTTCTTTTTTTAAACATTCAAGTTTTTTTAAACCTGAGGTTCATATCACGTGTTTAAACCATACTTTGCACTTTGAAGGTAGAGACGGTAGCTTCCATGCTGAAAAATTGGCTTCACTACAGCATGATGTTTGTTTAAAACATAAGCTTTCTGATCATATTGTCACTCTTATTGTTTCTGAAACATGCTTTACTAAGACTTGCAAGCAAAGATGTATTCAAGGAACTGGGTTTTGTAGTGAATAGCATGGTCCGCAAACTAAAATTAGGTGGTATTTCAAAGGAAATATTAATTCCTTGCCACTCATATCAGCTATGCCATTGAAAATTTGGGGTTTGGAATTAGCTTTTAAGGAAGTTCATTGGCCAAGTAAATTAGCAGCTTTATAGAGATGAAGTTCTGGAAGAGCCATGACCTATTTTAAAGAGGAAGAAGCATTAATATATTATGATTCTAGGTCTTCTAAATCTACTCAAGGAAAGGAGATCTGTAAAATCCAGGAACCATAAAAAAAAGATATCTTGAACTTGTTTGACATTCATAACACCATGCATGTGCTAAATATGAAGAGCAGTGTGTCATGTAAAGTTTGTAATCATTAATTCTTTTAACATCAAATTGCTGTCTCCAGCTCCAAAATGATTTCCTTGATGCGTGCTCCATGTTTTGGGTTTCCTGAGTGCCACTGTTTTCTCAGAGCTGTGGCAATAAAAGGATAATGAACTTTTGATGGTATACATGGAATTTTCCAGAATTCAAACTTCTGCTGTATATGATAGTCTTTTAAGTCTATCAATGTAGTTCCTCTTTCTAGGGTGAGCATAATGTGCATGAATATCTCTGATGAATTATATAGGTTGTACAAACTATTCTGCTCTAGCTAAGATACAATTTAGTCTGTTTGGATTGGTGGATTTGGATTTGAGGAAGGATTTGAATGAATAGATTTGGAATCTGTATTATTTCAAATACCTTGCTTGGCTGAGAATTATCCAAGATGAGTAGAATTTATAGTTAACAATATTTGTGAGGGTGACATTTGAAAAGCTTAAGAGTTCAGAGGTTAAAAATTGAATTTCCCTTTTTGCCTTTTTCCTTCTGTCATTTCAAACGCTTGAACAAAGTGCTGCTCCTCTGTTCTCTTGCTAATTTCCTGCAAATGTTGCACTGCCCATGGTGGCCGACAGCTCCTTTTTCTTGCACAGATATATGTCCTCAAACCACACTGAGCGCAAAATGGAACGAGCTCCCAAGTTTCAACTCTGTTGTTTTGGAATTTCCTTTGCTGGTGGCATGTGACGGCAGTGCGGCAGTCACTGGAGGTCCTGGCTTGACTCAAAAGAAAAGATATTTTACTTTTTTTTGGGGGGGGGGGGGGGGATGGAGAGGTGTGAAGGAATAAAATGATATGCAAGTTGAGTGAATTTGAATTCACTGAGTTTAGCCCTTATAATTGCTCCTATTGGTGAATGGATTTTAAACCCAAATCTCTGATAAGTTTACCAAACCACATAGTGGATTTGGGTTCAGGATTTGAAATTGAACCCACCTGATGCCCTTAATCCAAATGGGAGTGTACTTTCTGTAATAGTACTTATGCTTTGATGTACATAGCTACCAATTGCATTGATGTGAATCAAATGCATCTTTTCCTGCTTCATTAGCAGTTTTTTTACCAGCAATTTTGTCATTATGTTCTAGGACTGTCTTCTAGATCTGTAATTTTAGATGATATTGATTATATTGTTCGTCACCAAATGTGGCAGTTGCGCCGTATATGCAGAATATCTGGTGTGAGGGTTTTGATTGAGGTGGAGAATGCCCGAGATTCAATTTATCGTGCATCAGTTGACTTTGTTTTGCAGTGCTGTGAAAGGTATGAAGGTTTTCCTATAGTATAGCTTACTGATTCACTTATATGGGAAAGGAACAAGACCCATCTTTTATTCTCATTGCACTTTATATTAAACTTTTCATGGAAATTTTGAAGTTTACCAGCTAACATAACTTAATTTTTAGTAATTATATCTACTTATGGTCATCTTGCTTTCTTGTCTGATATAGCAATATTAAACTGATCTCATTTTCTACAGGATAGAAAATCAATCGGCTTTCATTAACATTGATGGTGAGGATGTCCACCATTTCATTGCTGGGCTCGCTGAAAACATCGGTCTTGAGAACAGTCGTGCGTCAAGAATGGTGTCTGGCTGTGGCTGCACGTACTCGCTCCCGGTTCTTGCAGGCCTGGGTAAGTTATATGTATTTCATTTTCTCTATTGGAGATGATGATGAAGGTCAGGTTCTAGAGCATTTCATGTTAGAGGATTGCACGTGCATTATTTACATTTGAAAACTTATATATTCATATATAAGGCTTATTATTCGAGCGTATAAGGCTTATTCTTCCTAAATTACTAATTTGCTCTTTTAACTTAAAAGAGATTTTACTGCTTGCATGACTATCTGATGTTTCGAGTGTCAAGGAGAAAGGGATTACATTCAATTTTCTACTGGATTTTTGTTGCTGATTGTTGTTATACTTAACATACTTATTTGTTTCAGGCCCTGAAAATACAAGGTAATCATTCTGAAGCAGTTGCTGAACTATTAAAGATATGCCTCATTCACAAGATATTTCCTCCTGAAGAGAGCTCGGTAGTCTGTTTCTCTTTAGTTTTCTCAATTATCTCTTTCCAGCTCTCTTGGAAATATTAATATATCTTTTGTCCATTACATCTAAAACACAATATTTTGTGGTGAAGCGTGCATTACATGAGTGTCTCCTAAAAGCAACTAGTCAACAAGTTAGAGGTCAATTACACGTGGCAGGAACGTTGAACAAGTTCAGCCATTTAATTTGTGACTTTGTAAACTTGTTGAATGTGGAGACTTTTGTTGAGTAACTTGCCCAAAGCTTCTTCACCCTCTGGTTCTCATAAAGTAATTACAATTTATACGACCATGCGCCAGGGAGAAGGGAGTAAGGAGATGATTTCTGCACCTAAATGTGAAGTTTGAACACAAAAGAAAAAGCTCTAAGGTGGAATGCCTAATGTGAGTACAATCAAGCAAAAGGCCACAAAATAAATCCACTAAAAGCAGATAAATAGTGCAAGGGTAGAATATAAGTCTGCCACATTTTTTGGCCATGTCATAACAAGGGTCATGCAGTCATTAAGTAGTTCCAGAAACAATTTAGGTGAAAGAAAGATATTTGGAAATAGTGTTAACTTTGGTACATAGTTATTGTGTGAGTGCATATAATTATCTTCTACATTTTGGTTTAAGTGTTTTGATTACAATGGAGCACTCCTGTCATGGCATAGTAGGTTAGAGGTGCAAAGTGCACTAAAAGCTCAAAGGCCTTCTGGGCTTTGTTGCAGGGAGCAAGGCATGTGCTTCACAAGTTTACTACTTAAATTGTCATCTTCTGTTATACCTCACTTGTAGACATGGTATTACACAAGGGCAGAAAATAAGTTCGCTAAGGGCGATAAATAGTGCAAAAGTAGAATTTGCCACATTTTTGTTGAGTCAGGTATAATGCAGATAGGGTCATGCAGCCACTAAGTAGTTTCAGAAACAATTTAGGTGAAAGAAGGTGTTTTTTGACATTGTTATCAAGTTTATTGTATGAGTGGAGTATAATTATCTTCTGTTTGTGGTGTTTTGATCACAAAGGAGCACTCGTATCATGCATAGCATGTGCGGGTGCAAAGTGCACTAAGCACAAAAGAGCTTCCGGGGCTTTACTGGGGAAAGTGAGGCATGTGCTTCACAAGTTTACTACTATAGTTATTTTCTTCTGATATATCTCACTTGTAGGCATGATGGTATTAGAAGCATAATTCCACTCGTGCTTTGGATGAACACACAAATTGTCAATTTATTGTAGACTATAAAGCTGTGCTTGGCTTGATTTTGAACCTGAGTTTCCAAGGTGAATTTAATCAATCTCCAAGGAATAAATCCAATAAATATTTTGGCTTAGCAATATTTGTGGATTTACAAAGTCAACACTGAGCACTTTTTCACCCCTCAAGTCATTATACTCTACACAGTCAAGCTTTGAGAAATGGATTTAGCAATTGTGTGTTGTGTAATAAATTTGGACACTTCAGTAAACTTGATAAATTTTCTTATAGAAGTATCAAATGGTTAATACTTGTAAATTAGCGTTCCTTTTGATTTATTCGAAGGCATGAAATGTTCGATATTAGGAAGCTCAACTTAGGAATTAATGGGCTGCGCATAATGATTCATGGCATCTCGATGTTAGTTCATTCCTCCAATTTTTGGTAGATTTGTTTTCATGGTCATGTTGGTAACTGGAAGCTCCTGTGAAATTTGCTCTCTTCAGCAAAGCTTAAGAGGTTTTAGTTATCGAGTAATCAATAGAATGCTTGATATTTCTTATGTGTTTTTGTGATTTTCTGCAGGCTGAGATGGAAATGGTTGCCCGAGGACTTGAAAAGCAGTTAAATGTGGATCAAAGAGAACTTTTGTTAAACATGCTCATTAGGACATGTGGTGAAGGGACACGTAGAAGCATGACTGAAGCTCTGGGTCTGGTATTTCCATGCTTCTTTGCTCTTTCTCTGCAATGTTTAAACAAAATTTGACATCCCTGCTCCAATTGTGCATTGTGATCATTTCATTTATTGGAGAAACTCTTGAAAAATTTTATGTTGAAGCTGGTTGCCCAGTTTTTGATTGTAAATATGAGCAAAATTTGATTATTTGTAGAGAGGTGGTATTGTCACATGGTATCATGCATGTTCTTTCTTCATCTCATGGTCTCAGACTTCAAACTATGTCACCTTTCCCTCTTCCTGCATCTGGAGAAACCAACAGCATTTTGGTAATCAAGTATAATTTCTCTGTTTTTTCGGGTACAAATTTCGCTACTTGGATGGGAGTCTTTTAATTAATTTTCTTGCTTGTCTTGAAGTATCATGGGGATAATTCCTAATTGGATTTACTTGTTAAGAGATTTCACGGGCACCATCACTGGATTCTTACTTATTTATGGAGATACAATAGTCTGCTTTTGGCTCTTGATTCCATACTGACTGTTCGAACTACTCGTGCAGATACAACCACCTCAGAGTGATGTTGAACAAGAAAAGAGGGTTTCTTAAGTTGCACAGGACATTTTACAGCAGCTTCAATCAAGCCTTGACGCTCGAAAAATACATATTGTGTATATGAATTAGTTATTGTCTCCTCTTTGTTGCTTTATTAATATTACATTCCATCAACAACTATGATGCATACATATTTGACAAGCTTTTTGCTTCAATTGAAGTCCAGTCTTATGGAATTCCAAGTTGCTCGCCTACTTTCATTTCCCACTGAGTTTTGGTTGACAATGAGGATAATCCTGTTTACTTCAGTTTCCACTTGTTCTACCTTTTTTGGTTGCGCGCTTGCTATGACCATCGGGAACACATGGTAGCTAGAAAAGTTCATGCATCTTGTAAGCACAAAGGTGGTTTATTGGCACCCCAAAAAGAATGAATCCCGGTATGTATACCTGAAGCCATAAAGGTAGGCGTTTGGGTACCCTCAGAAAGAATGAATCCCAGCTAAATGCCTGAAGCCATCATTTAGGCTGATCCTAGCCTTTGTTTCATATCGCGCGTTGCAAAGCCATAGAAGTGTACAAAAGCATGTGTGGAAGGAGAAGATATGAAAACAAGAAAAAGATTCAAACACCTAAGTCTGATTCTAGTCAGTGGTATGTTCAAGATGATGTGTATACTTATTGGGGATCAAAGTCTTTGTTTCTGGTCTTTGAATCACTAGTTTGATTCCCTTCCAGGCATTTTCCTTAATCCCTCCCTATCAAAATAATATGTAAATTACCAAAATTAGGATTAAGAAACGATGAATAATTTTATGACATGAACAAAGAGATTTGGATAAATTTTATGAGCTTTATGAATCATTTATAATATTTTGAAATTTAATTATTAACCTGGACAGATAGCACAAAATTGAGGCTTTTTTTCCTGCAATTTTGTTATCAAATCATAACCATAATATCTTCTTTGAGAACTTATGTTTTTATGCGTGTTATTTGTTATTATTAGACATAGTTTGGTGTATTTTGTGTAAAAAAAGAAAAAAGTAATTTTGGAATTTCTTTTTGAAGTTGAGTTGCAAAAAATTTGTAGTACTATTTCAAAATTTGAGAAATTTTTTAGTCTTACTTTGCATTTTCTTATGATGTTTTGATTGCAAATAGAAAAAAATGCCTAAACTTATATTTACAAGTTTTATAGTGTGTTTGATGTACAAAAATTGTGTTTCTTTTTTGGTCCCTCATTTTTGGAGTTTTGAACAATTCAATTCTTTGTCTATCACTGTGATCATTTTAGTCATTTATCTTTACCAAACAAGAAAAACTAATCTTGGACCTCTTATGGAAAATGAAAAATGTTAACAGAATTAGTTATATGCACAATTAAAAATGAATGTTTTCATCCATCATCTTCATGATCATGTCAATTTTGTGTATTTCATGTCATCACATACCAATTGGTGTATGTGTGTGTGTATGAGTTTTTTTTCCTATTCTGCTTTTTTTTTTAAGTTAAACTCATAGTGCATAGGACCGACTCCATTAGAGTTTTATAATTTTTCATTAAAAGTCCTATAATGACTTTATTTTATGAAAAATGAAATAGGACACAACCTTAATGATAATGTACCAAAGCAGTCATGTTTAATAGCACCCACGCTACACACGTGACTAATTTCATTAGAACTTTTCAAATTTCCATAAGAGGTCCTAAATTGTTTTTTTTTTTTTGGGTAAAGATAATAGAATAAAATAGTCACAATGATAGATAAGCGACTAAATTGGTCAAAACCCAAAGATGAGGGACCAAAATGGCCATTTTTCATGAAGTATTTTGAGTCATAGTAATTTTATAAACTTTTTAAATTTTTTCCCCAAACATATGCCAAAGAAATAACATTAAGGTCTTTCCATTTCATTGACAACTCTCCATTTTCTTGTAAAAACATTTATTGGCCACTTTTTTTTGGAAGTTAAGGTTTATTCTACTTTTTTTCGCAAGGTAAACTTATAGTGCATGTGATCGGCTCCATTAGGGTTTTGTAATTTTTCATTAAAAATCCTGTATTCACTTTATTTTGTGAAAATAAAGGTTTACATTGTTCAAAAGACAAAATATGGCACAACCTTAATGATGATATACAAAGCAATTTCTTTTAATATCACACATACTACACACGTGCTAACTTTATTAGAATTTTTCAAATTTCATTGTTACATTAATGTTGCGATGATAGATAAGGACCAAAATGGCCTTTTTTCCTAAAGTATTTTGAGTTTTAGTAGTTTTATGAACTTTTTAAATAATTTTTCAAACATATGCCAAAGAAATAACATTAAGGTCTTTCCATTTTGTTGATATCTCTCCATTCCTTGTAAAAACATTTTATTGGCCACTGTTTTGGAGCCAAGGAACTGAATTCATTCACCATCATAACTAAGAGGTAAAATTGGTTAAGGACACAAGGATAAGGGACCAAATTTGTCATTTTCATTGTTACATTAATGTTGCAAGTGCGATTCACGTGATCATTCTGTTAATTCTCGTTAAAACTCCAATTGCAACCACTTTTTACATAGTAATTAGATGACTTTTCCCTCAGTATCCTGCACCTACAAAAACCATTACGACTAGGGGTAATCAGGTATAATTTCTCGATTTTGAGAGGGAGTTCTCTACTTGTATAAGAGTCTTTACTTCATTTCTTTCTTGTCTTGAAGTACCGGTGAGGGATAATTTCCAATTGACTTTACTTGTTAAGGGATGTGGGAGCACCATCTCTAGTTAATTAATTCATTCAACTATATGTAAGCTTAGAGATACGTATACAAGGGTATAAAGGTGTACAATTGTACGAACAGCAATATCATTCTTCCACAATTGCCTAGTATTCCTATTTTCATTTGCTAAATTAAGTTTTGATAAGAAGAAACACGCAAATTACATATTTACAAGTATTTGGAAAATACAAAAAAAAATTATGGAGTATTACACTCAACGTGCGTGTAACTAGCAATTGAGGAGCAGTGGGCATCTGTCATATTTTTTTTTAAAAAATTGCAAATTGATTGTTGATGAGAGTAATCAGTGTTTTTGTAGTATAATCCCATTAGATAATGTTATAAATGACATTAGATTATGTAGTGAATCATTTTGGCTGTGTTCATTTTCCTTCGTTATTAGGAAAGTGAACCTTGATAATCATGGTTTCGCTAAATTGACCGTTAACTCTTGAATGAGATCAGGTGGAACGAAGTCTTCGTTGTGTGGTTAAGTAAGCTAACATAAAGATTATCTTCTAGTTACCAACCTTTTGTAAAGTAGAGTACATCCTTTTAACTACTTTTGACCAAAAAAAAAAAAAAAAAAAAAAAGTTGTATGTTCTTTTAGTTCTCTTGATTGTAGAGCATAACTCTCTTCCTTGAATGAAAATTTTGCTTCCAAAGAAGAATGCGGTAAGAGGTTGTCCATATTTTATATATACAGCCCTGCATTTTCTGTCCCTTGTTGTGTACCTCCATTTGAGTTCAGTTTCCACCTTTCCCCTTTGAATAAATATTTTGGTTTTTAATGCGAGTTTATCTAGGATTTTGGCATTATGATTTTATGGGGCAGGAATAAGCATTCAAAGAACAATTTGAGACTTGATTAATTTCGCCTTATGTAAGAATAGTATGATGAGCATCTAAGTAGTGCTTGGATTGACCTCATGAGATGAGGGGTTCTTTATGATTTTTTATGTTTTCCAAATGTGATCAATTTCAGCTACGAGTTATGCACAGTATATTGCAATTCTTAGAAACTGTATCTGCAATAGTCTCTTATACAACGAAAATGCATTGAACCATTTGATGGTTAGACAACTTGCTTGTTAAGCTCTTAGGTGTCTCTAGCGCTCTACTAATGGAGACCAATGCCGTCTTATTTTGTTTAGCCTCCTTGCTCGAGTAAAAGTGAGCACTTTTGTATGGTCGAGTTCGCAGGATTACAATTAGAACTAGATCTATGTTCACGGTTACTAGATTTTCCATGTCCAAGGAGCATAATGAATGTACCTAAGCTACTAGCATAGATTTGCTCATACCAATGGAGGGGCCAGACCAAAAAAAAAAGAGGCCAGGCTATTTGGCAATTTACAATGGTAATTTTGCCCTCTAACTCTGATTCAAGTTTGATCATATGCCAAAATTTTGGTCACGTCAAACCAAACCATCTCAGTGAATTGTGATGCACAATGCGATCGCTAGGAGGCAATTTGCAATGAACCTTATAGTTAAAAGGGATTCAATGGATTTTGCGCTATATAAAACACCTTAGTATCTTGTGAGCTGCGTTGCCCTTTAGCCAAACCGGGTAGAAAGAGTATTGGGAAAAAAAAAAAAAAAAAGGACTTATCTATCTTGCTACCTAATCAATGTGTGTGTATGTGTATACGTATGTTAAACACAAGCACACAAGCTATTTAATCTATGTATGTGTGTGTATGTATGCTAAACACACAAACGCTAACGTGCACGCACACATAAAATCTGCTGTGCCTAAAGTACCCACATTGAGAGACTAGTATAGTTTCAACTTGAGAATAACACTTAAATATTATCAGATTAGCTGTACATGAGCCTATTTTCTCAGCTACAAAGAACAGCAACTAAGTTATTAGAACCGCATTGTGACTGTCAAAATTGGCAATGAGAGGGGCGGCAACTGTTTCAGAAAACATGTATTACAACTCACATTTACATACAGCATCACCATTTTGAAAGAGTCTAAGATGCTTGAGAGTCTAGATTGGAAGTCAAACCAAACCAGTGGTAGTCCGAGCTATCCTCTGAGCTTCTTCAAGGTCCTTCAGAAACCTGGGTGCACATGGATCAATATGACTTTCTGAAAGATTTGTAAGCGGAACGGAAACAAAGGTGATTTTGTTTTGTAAGAAATGGAGTCTGGTAAATTCATATACAGCCAACCAGAAAGTAACAAAGCCAACATGCAATCCCAAAAAGTTTTTAAGCAAGCAAAAGGAGTACGTACTAGGTCCAAGCAGAGAAAAACAAAAAATGCAAATAAATCTACATAAAACCAATAACAGAGATGTATTTGCAATAAGAAAGTTTCATAGCATTTAACGTGATTTTCTTGGACCCAGTCTGAACAACAGTCACTCGGAAGTATATTTAAAACTCACAGACCTCTTAGAATTGAGAACTGCAGAACCCCCAAGAATGAAACGAATACCAGAGTTTGTAGTATTTTGTAAAGCAACTGCACGTGATTCTTCATATGTTGTCCCGCCAACAATGAATATAACCACTTCCTGCAACCTGTCAACAATAATGAATGTAGGGAGTGAGTTTGATCAATGATTCAAAACTCTGATAATAGTTGATGTCATGTGTTAAAACATTCTTTGCGCGAAAGAAGATAACTTCAAAGCCTTTCATATTAGACAAAAACCTTGACTGTATAACTGGACTAAAAAACTGATTTTGATACATTGAATAGAAACAGAAAGGAGAAGTCAAATCGAAGACTATGGAGAAAGGCCTCGACATGACTTCACAAGGATCTTCCTACTGCTCTAACTTACTTGTGGGTCTACAGCTAATTTTCTAGGTATTTCCTCCCTGTACAAGGAGCACTCACAGCTGCCACCTGAGTCATTGGCTTACAATGCAACATCTAGCAGGAAAAAAATATCCAAAAAAGCCAACATAAAAGATATACCACTAAGTCTACCAAAAACATGTAGGAGCTTCACTATCTCAGAATCCCAACATACTGTGAATCCTAGGTTTTAAAAAAAAAAAAAATTCACTCCTCAACTTGGGATGCTGTTTGCAAGCACCAATACTATGTTAATTCCCGTAATTTTTTCTCAGACCAATTGCAATTCCACAGAATATCATCCTACATTCATGTCAACCAATAACACAAGCACAGAGAGGCATATCATAAATGTACAAAAGGAAGCCTACGTGGTTTTTTGAAGTTTAATATGAAACCTATGTTTTCTTTGCATGTTCAATCTCAAAATTTTGATTCTGAATATAATAGTCAAGCATTACTATAGCTGTCAGATTTGCTGAGATTCTCTGCAGTTTCGTCCATGAGTTTAAAACAGGTAATGTAACCATAGGCAGCTTTATTGAAAGTCCAAGCTGTCCTTGGATGAGAAATGAATGGTTCAGAGTTTGAACAAAAAATCTGCAGAAGCTTAAAAGTCTCACACACCAAAGATTTGAAGTTAAAGAACAGTATGACAATCACATGCTTTCGTTTAAAGTTTACAGCCCTTTTGTTGCTTGAAGCCTTGTGTGGGGCATTTCTGTGGAATCTACAACACATTCTTAGAGAATCTTCCTAAACTTTCTTCTTCTATGTAGCCTCCAATATTCTTAAAACTTATTCTTCTGCAAGCAGTGCCAAGAATGCCTTGACATTCTCCACCAATAGTCATGATATTGTCCACAAAATCACCTCTTTGACTAACACAAGACCAAAGAATGAACTCCTTAGCTACTCACCTTGCAACTCAAGAAAAGAGCCAACTAAGCACCACTTTCTTCCAAACCACTTCACCAACAACCTCACAACCACTAAACTAAGGATTTTTATGGAGGAATTTCAAGTTTAATCGGTTAGATTTGAAGATTGAGCAAGCTTGGGATGAAGAAAGTTGAAGGCTTTTCTTTTCTTTCCCCTTGAGAGAGTTGGCCACAAGAAGGTTTAAATGAAACTGATTTTGGGTCAATTTTGATTAATTGGTAAAGTTAATGAATAGTAGTCAAAGTCAAGATTAAATCACAAGGTGACACTTGTCACCCTTATTTAATGCAAAGCTATCCTTTTGTCTCTCCCACACTAATCCATTTGGTAACCTCTAGTTATCTCTTAACACTTAGTAAATCAAAACCTGTATACAAAACTTAACTTAATTGGTCGAATTTTACCGAACTTTTAGCACTAGCGGGTCCCACGCCCGTTATTCACTCCTAAAATCTCATGAACCAACTTATACTAGAAAAATGATTGAAAAACCATATTTACTCATAAAATTATATAGAAAATATGAAATGCGTGCAATTCAATAAAATAAAACCTAGAAAATAAGAAAATTTACGGGCTCTCACACGTTTGGTCGAACAATATGTGGGAAGATGAGCAATAAGTTCGTCAGGATAAGGCTCCCAAATAAACTGTCGCCATTTAAATAAATTACAGTTAGCCTTGATAGTAATTACAAGAAGAGAAATATCCATATAAATAGTTTGGACCGGACAATACCTCATCGACGTCCATAATGGTAAGCTGATCACGAAATACAGATACAACATGCGGGGGCACGTACTTGGTTGTACAACTCCCGGCCCACCGACCGCCTCTCGAAAAATCATTTCCCTGTGCAGCGGGAATCAACACAGTTGGTCTAATCTTGGGAATTCTCTCCCATGCCCATAGCTGGTAATAATGAAAAACTTTATCAAATTATGTTATTTACGAAAAAGAAATGAAATAACAGTGTTATATATATTCAAATGGTGTATATACGCTCACCTATAGAAGCATGTATGGTCCAGCAGTGCAGCTCGTCGATGCGTGAGACGCTTTACACATACGGGAGTATAAACACGCAAGTGTTGCACTGCCCCAACTATATCGGCTCATACCCTCAATGTCTCGAATGAAATCTAGCCAATGACATCTAACAAGATTGCCGTATGTGTCGGCGAATAGATGTCCACCAAATAAAATCAAAATGTAGCACCGAACATGCTGATGAATCAATTCTTCCGGTGCATCATCCGGAAGAGGCTCATATAAAAACTCCAATATAGGTACAAGTTTCAGCCTGCCATCCTTAAAGTGACGATTCTCTAAAAGTTCTTGAATCAAGTCCTTCTTCTGAGCAACAGACCGATTTTGATCGATAAGTGTGACCGGTAATCCATCGAAACCGAGATCCCATAATACCTCCACATCCTGCAAAGTGATAGTAGTTTCGTCGATAGGGAGATAAAAAGTGTGGGTCTCCTGTCTCCATCGCTCAATAAGCGTTGTGATCAACCCATGGTCAAGTTCGAACCGACCTGCTTGTACTACACCCCAGAAGCCTGCCCGTATCAGATAGTGTGCTATTCGCGGATTCAGGTCATTATGTACAAGATCCCAAAAAAATCCGTCGGCTCATTTAATATTCAGCTGTACCTCGTGCCCCAAAAGAATTGCTCTCGATCTATGTGTGGACTGCAAGTATAAGACATCGTCAACATGTGGAATCTGGATGGGCTTGGTTGTACGTCTGGGCCAATGTTCCATATCTACAAAAACGTGCGAGCAAATAATAAAAAATGACATAATAAATTTACAATTGGAGGCAAAAAGAAAGTAATTGTTGCAAATGGATGTTTAGGCACATATACAAGTATATTACAATCCAAATTGACCCACTTCATTAAAGATGTCAAACATATAATATTACAACAAAAGTTCTAATATACTACAGAATGAGCATGCAGAACCACAACTTATGATACAAATGACCTACTTCGACCCTCAATTAAACATTAAAATGGCTAGAGTAAGGGCAATTGGAGGCATTGTGTCCTATCTGTGAACAGTGGCTACAACGATGAGGTGCATCCGGACATCGACGATCCATCTGATTATGTATTCTGGCTATGGCCTTAGGGCCAGGTCACTTTTGCTTGACTCTGGCAGAATCATAATTAAGATGCAAGTCCTAAGGGACCCAATAAGCCGTGTCCATCAAAGGAAACAACTGGCCCTGCAAAGAAGCCTGCCATGCTGAAAATGTATGTGCATGACCAACTAGATGGTGTGAATTTGTTCCCGATCGATAACATGACGCAATAACGTGCGAGCATGGGAATCGAAGTTCTGTCCATTTACCACACGTGCACGTTCTATTTCCAAAGTGGACAATTTGTGCCTTACCCCTTTCCCATTATCGCGTCGCCCCGTTGTTACGCAATAGATTCCGTTTCTATGGTCATACACTTTCACTGAATGCGTCCTTGCTTTTAACTCATTTGCTACGAACATTCTCCATATCTCCTTTGGAAAAGGGTATATCGCATTAAAGGCCATCTTCCGTTTCTTTGTGAAAAGATCAACAATTTGATTGAAAGTGAATTGTACGCAAGATGTGATTGGTAATAATCGAGTTTTGCGCAACAGGTTATTGAAGCATTTCGCTACGCTGGTTGATGTATGACCCCATCGATATCCCCCATCCTTACACAGTGCCCATTGTTCTGGTTTAACAGATCCGCCATTAAGCCATTTGTATGCCTCTTCATTTAATAGCCAAATCCGTTCCATGAATGCTTCGTACTTCTTTGCTTGATTTGCAGCTCCGGCAGCCCATACGAAATCCTTAAGTCTAAAAAAAAATATATGAAATAATTTTAATCTGAAAAAACATGTAAAAGTAATCTAACCAATTACGATTCTTAACCATGACAGGAATAACAAAAAATACTAAAAATTTAATTCGTACCTCTGATTTCTAAATTTCTGCGTGAAATTGCTTTGCACGTGGACCAAACAATATCGATGCACTGCAAGCGGTTCCTTCCACTCTGACAAGGTTTTCATCGCGTGCATTATCCCCCTGTGACGATCTGAAATGACGCATATATTTTCCACTTCTCGACACACATGGTGACGTAATTGAGACATAAACCAAGACCAACTCCGATTGGTCTCCTCATCAACAAGTGCGAAAGCTAGCGGAAATTGACGATTGCTAGCATCAAATCCAACTGCTACTAACAACTTTGACTTGTATGTCCCTTTCATGAACGTGCCATCAACACAAATAACTAGTTTCAGGTGTCGAAATGCCTCGATAACGGGTCCAAATGCCCAAAACACATAGTGAAAAATTGAATATCCAACAGTACTTTGTGGATGATGCTACCATACCACAACTGTTTCCGGATTAGCCAGTACCAACTCTTGCATGAAAGTTGGTAGTTGTGCTATTGAAGTGGGCCAATCACCATATACGATGTCAATCGCACGACGCCTTGCGTACCAAGCCTTTTTGTACAAGACATCTGTATCAAAAGCACGCTTAATGGTTGTTTGAATTTCCGTAATGGCATAAAGTGGCCCATTCTCAACATGATGTATGATATGATCCGCAATTAGTTCAGAAGTCAATTGTCGGTGATCATTGCTGTTCGACACCCGGATATATGTGTGCTCTTTTACAAAAGTTACAATTTTCCACATATTGTGTATACATCTCAATGATGCTCTAAGCTGCCAATTACACGATGGAAAAGCATTTTCGGACCTGCATTTAACATACCAGGTCATTGGTTTACTTTCTCGTACTCTGTACTCCCTATTGTGTTTGATTGACCACAATTTAACAGCTCGCTGCACATGTTTCTTTGTTTCAAGCACCATGCCCAATCTTAACTCCTTTGTACGGTCATCCCACACGTTTAATTTCTCAACTCCAATGATGTTAGTGGAATCAAATTCCAACGTAGCATCAACTCCCTCGCTATCTTGTAAACACTGCGCCATTTGAAAGTTACTTGACGAATTCGGATCGGACCCACCAACATCAAGATTGAACTCTTGTTGGTTGGCCTCATCCTGTTTGTCATCAGTATCATCAGAGTTATCGCCATCAAGTTCAGGTTCGGTGTCAGGATCTACATCAACTCCCTCGCTTTCTAGTATAATCGGTAGACAGGAAGTTCGAGAAATTTGCGCTACACATACTTCTTCCCCAGCTTGTACTAGCATAGTACTACAACATGAGGTGGTATAAAACAAAAGGTTTGACTCCACTTGGGAACCACCTTGGTCCCATCTTGAGGTTTGTCCACTATCGACATTACTGTGGTAATGACGTAACTGTGGTTCCACCTCAACGTATATCTCACATGCCGTTTGTGGTGTCATCATTTTCATATGGTATAGCATATCCATGTCTTCTTCACACCCCAAGCGTAATCCAGCAAAAGTATTTAGACCTACTGAATTTCTAAACCATAGATTTAAATTGAACCCAGTTCGATCTAAACCCATGTAAGTGTATACCCTATCAACCAATTCGGAATAACTTATTCGATTTTTTACTAAAATGGCTTTTTTACATCTCGGCGGATCATATGAAAATGATCCTCTGGTCTCCACTATTTTTCCTCCCCAATAAAACTGAATCACCAATGCGAGATCCGTGGACATATTTGTACCTAATTTTATGAATATTATTTATTTTTGATTCAAGCACCTATGTCATTCTCAACATAAATTTAGATTAACTAAATTGAAATTGATCATATCCATAAAAAAATAATCATGAACGAAATAATATGCAGTAATATTAAATAGTAGAATAACTAAACAAGAACGAATTTGTAAATTAACGGCACAAATGCTGTAAAATATGCAATAATTTAATGATTCCTATTTAATATTAATTAAACACTTATTGCTATTTTTTTTTTGCACTATTATTACTATTAATATTTGTAAGTAATTGCTACTACTTATGACTTTTTTTTATTAATATCGCATTTATTAATATTCTTTTTCAGTATTATTAGTATTACTATTACTAAATAATTGCTAGTATTGACTACGACTAGTATTAATATTACTGTTATTAACTATTTACTATTATTATTAAATATTTTATAATTACTTTTTACTTTACTATTTCTCATTTGTCCTTTTCAACTATTAATTAATTATTTTTACTATTATTATTTACATTTACTATCATTTAATATACTGGAGTACTTTTTTTTCCTATTACTATTACTTTTTTTACTTTCATTATTTACTACATACTATTTACTATTCACATTTTTTTACTATTTACTTTTATTATTATTATTATTACTGTTACTATTTAGTATTTACTTTTTTAACTACTTGTACTATTTACTTTTAATAGAAATTTTGACCATTCTAAACAAGAATGTATTAAATATAATTATTAGTGACTACTTGTACTGAATAGAAACATTATAATGTAAAAATTTGTAAATCCTAAACATGAGTACTAATTATTAATATAGTAATACTAATTTAGCTAATTTAAATACTAATCAAATGTACTCAACTCATAGTACGTAATCAACGAACTAACAAATTACTAGTAACTACATATAACAAACAGATTAAATGTAATTCAAGGTAACAAACTGATTAAATGTACTAGTTACCTCTTAGCAAACTGATGTGATGGCCGTCCCCCACCTTCAACACTGAGCGAAGGCTGTTTTTGATCGGTACAGGAAATCAATGCTCACAACCATCTACGGCTTCCTTTTTCCAGTTATAGCAAACCATAAACCAACTATCGGTTGCACAATGTGAAAGCACAAATGCAGGACCACAATGCCAGCAGTTCTTCGATACAAAATCTAAAAACACAATTGCGGCGACACAATGGAAATGAACAAATGCAGGACCACAGTTGCAGGAGTTCTTCGATACAAAACCCCAACAATAGAACGAAGAAATTGGGGAGACTCACAAAGGAAGAAGTTGAAGAGATAAGGATGCAAATGGGGATCTGGTCGATGATGTATTTGTAGCTAGACATTTTACATCGATGTTGCTGATTATATCCACCCGTCGATCAATATTTGATCAACGGCCAAAAAAATACTGCTAAAATAACTGTCGGTGGCTGGATTTTAATTAAAAAATTAACTTAGCATCGTTGATCCATTTTTTATTAACGGTTGATCCACTTTTTATCAACGGTAAGAATAATTAGGATTTGTCACGCGGCGTCTGAATTCTTTTTCTAATAAAAGATTTGCACCGTTGATCAACTTGTAATCAACGGTGCTCAAGTATAGCCGCATCCATTAGTTTTTTCAAAAGCCTTTACACCGTGGATCACAAGTTGATCAACGGTGTTAAGTACAGGTGCAGGTCGCCGCAATGCGGCGTTCTTTTTTTTAATTAAAAAAAATTTCTACTAATTGCGGTGACTTTTTTTTTATTAGAAAAATTTCTACTATGCTTTGGATTGCAAGGTAAAAAAAAATATTATTGGCATTAGCCGCATGCATGCATGCGGCTATTTAAAAACAAATTGCATTGTCGCCGCATGCACTTTTGCATGCGGCTATGAAAAAGGGGTAGCCGCATGCGGCTATGCATATATAAAAAAAAAAAATTGGAAACCAACATCGATGCTTTTCAATCGCAAAAGAAAAATGGAAAAGAAATTTGATTTTTTTAGAAGCCGACAAGGACATTTGCGGCGACCCCTCAACCATCCAACACTTTCCCACAACACCACTTTTCCGACTTTTTTCTTGAATGGCATTATTTTGGGAAATTCGCCCCGATTTCCGGTACCAATGCAACATCCAGAAATTTTTAGGAAAAAGAAAAAATAGGGAACAAAAGAAAGTGACCAAGAGATCTAATTAAAGCCATGGAACTACTAGTTTACTACATACGCGAATTCAAAGAATAGATAAAAACACACCGTTAAAAACACACCGTCTACTACAGCTTGGTAACTTGGGTCATACAAGGTTGACGGCTTTTATTTTAATCATTCTTGAAGATGAGTTTTGGAACTGGAACTTTGAGGATGTAGTGGGAGGATGATTAACAAATAATGGAAGAATATAGAGGAAAAAAAAAAGAAAAGTCAAGAAATTTGTGTTAAAACTCCCTAAGCAGGACTAAATTTCTTTGGCTGTTACAAGTGATTGAATTATAGCAGCGGTGATGGTTTGGAAATGGCTAGTGTTGAAAAGGAGAACTAGAATGATGGGTCTAAGTTAAAACCTTCATATTTTTGGTAGTATAGCCCTGAAGTTTGGGTTAATTAATATTTCGAAACTAAAATATTTCGAAAAATTTTCTTTGTGGATCAAAAGTTTTCAAGTTGGACTGATTTCAAATTAAATAGTCTTTTTGCTTAAATTGAAAATAAGTTCTTTTTAAAAGATCCAATTATAATAAGTATTATTTGACCAAATCTAAATTTTCTTTTAATAAAGCCAATCTTATTATAAAGATTTCTTTTGGCCTAAATGAACCAAGGGACTCTTCTAATAATCCAAATAAAATTGTAAATTCAAATATAGAATAGACAAGGTTTTTTCATTGGTGGGTCTAGCATTAGATCCAAACCCCAATTGAAATTCGACCCAATCTAATGTAGGCCATTTCTACAAAAGTAAATAAATATATAAATAATTTAAATAATTAATTAAACAAATAAGTAGATAAATAAATGAATAACATTTACTTTGAGAACAATCAAATTAAGAGACTTTCTAAAATGGGGATACCCTCTAAAAACGGAAACTGTCTAAATTAGCAAACTTTTCAAAGTGAAAATATTTTATTTCGGAAAACTATATGAGCACAATTTTAGCGAATGTCCAAACATATTTTCTGGGGTTGTTCAACATAGAAATAAGCACTTTAAGAACAGGATATATGAACTAATTAGGATGTATATGTCAATGATTATAGGTTTGGAGCGAGTTCATGAACACGTCAAGAATCTCTTCAATCGAGTAGATTGAGGTAGGTAGTGCTTATCCCTTTGTATTTTCTAAAACATTAAATATGAATTTTCTCAATTAAATGTTTTATTTTAATATATGTAAAATGGATTATGTATGCCTATTTGAGACATTTTTCTATGAAATGAGTGGCGTATTTTGATGAAATAAAACAAATGTGCATGTGATGTGTGAAATGATTTTATGTTACAAAAAACTCTAAACAGTCATGAAATAGACGGTAGGGGCTACAGTTCTGGTATATTATGTTGTGTTAGTCATGGGAGTCGGTATAGAGCCCCCGACCGATTGACTTATGTTATGTTATGTGGTCAAGGGGTTTATGTGAAACCTCTTGGTTACCCTCTTAGAAGGGGTTTAATTTCTAAACTGAATATTCAGAAGTCGAATATTGCATCTACTTGTTTATGAGGTATGTTTATGAAATGAGATGGCATGATTTATATGTTATATAATTTGAAAGTATGTTCAATGAATATGATCATGCCATGTTATGTGTGTTTCTATGCCACGTTCAGCGGGGTCCATATCTAGAATCTACGGGACTAAATGCCATGTCGAACGGCTGCTACTTATGTGCATACCACTCACCTTCAATGAAATATGTTTATGTAATATATGAAATGGGATGACAAATATTTTTAATTGATATATGTATGTGGTATAGTGTGACCTAATTTGCAAATGGATATAATATGCCTATAACTACGTGATCTGACTGGGGTCTAACTACTATTTGTTGGGCTACATCGGTCAACCCACATCTCTTTATTTTTTCTTGCAAATCAAGAAAATCACATCGTGTACATTTAGAAGATAAGTGAGAAAGGTAAATAGATAGATGTTTAAATTCTAGAAAGTTAAAGTAAAGCATTTGTAGACACAATTTAGGAAAGTATATGTATTTCATTGGTATCTATAAGATTTAAATTTTAGTAAAATGTTGTAAGTTATGATGATGATTTCTTGTATTTATGGGAATAAGTTTTCATAGATACAGCAAGCCACATTCCAAATCTAGTCCAAGGGCTCAAATTTGGGGCTTGACATTTATTGGTATTAGAACTTAGGTTATGTGATCTAGAAGTATGTGGAATGATGTTCGAAATATTAGTGATTTTGGGAATTGAAATGAGATTAAAAAAAAGGATTAAAGAAAATAAGAGATTCTCATGGTTTGTAATTGTACGAAAGCTTAGGTTATGAGATCCGATACTGGGCATAATGATGTCTTAGGTATTAGTGATTTTTGAAATGGGAATGAGATGGATAAAAAGTTTAAGTGAAACAAGAGATTCCGTAACAATCCGTGACATCAAAGCACTAGGTCATGAATATACTAGGCAAGAACCCATATAAAGAGGTAGAGTTTAATTATTGTGATAGCCCGTAAGTAATTTGTGATTGTATGTGTATCTTAAATTGTAATTGTGTCGATGGTGTTTACGGTATTTATTTTATAGGTTTGATCTCTGAAATGTGTTCTAAGTTGATCATTTAAGATGTTGGATTCATTTTATATAATTTGATCTCTGCAGTATATTCTAAGTTGATCATTTAGGATGTTGGACTTGTGGATGATTTTGGTGTGTATTTAGGATATAAGATAAAAAAAATAATAATAATGAGGAAATTAGAGTGCGCTGTGAAAGCTTGATGGATTAAATAAGAAGATTTAATTTTGGCAGTGTAGGATTAATTGCAGGATGGATTACAAAGACAATTTGTGAGAACCCGAAAATTTTCTTATTTTTATAGAATATTATTGGAATATTTAAATGATTATTCACTCATTTTCTTCGAATTATTTATTTCGACCATTTTAAATCCATTTATATGGAATGACGCCTCTTTATAATTTTAAAGCGTTTTGTTGAAAAATTCGCTTTTCGAAAATTTGATTAGTCCGGAACGACGGGTGCATGTTTTTCTAGGCTATACTTGAATAGGGAGAGTATTAATATTGAAGAATTAAGAACGATCAATAATAGATTAAGAAAGGTTAATGGAGGAATTTATACTCAATTCACGTGAGGACTCGTAAAATTCCATTATTTTAAAATCCCTAATTTTGGCTAAAATAATTATCTATTTGGATTTTTGCCACGAATATTATTTTCTATCCTTATTAGACCTAAGTACATGGTTTTATAGCTTCGTTATATTTTTAAAGTATCTCGTTTCAAAAATTATTTTCTTAGAAACTTGTTTAGTGAAAAAGTGAAAACGTGTCTAAACACTTTAGCCAATTGGGAGTACAATAAGCTCAAAATTTGAGACCTATACAATGGTCCTAAAATAGACAATTTTAGGTTTAATCACACAAGTGATAGCTAGGGGTACGATCGTTATAAGAATTTTTCAAAGGTTTTAATTTTTATTACGCCTAAATTAGAAATACGTGTTTTCACGTGCGCGCTTAATTGAGGGACTTTGGACCATTATTTTGGGACAATTAAGAATGAATAATATTTATATGAATGTAAGGGCCCTAGAGGTTTAGTGCACTAGTGCAACAAACGTAAGAGAAATCGGATACAAAACGCGCGCGTAGGGTACTAGTTAAAAATTGATTTGACGTATCAAAGGATTTGACGTCAAGCGTCTTTTGTACGCAGAGGCTACAGAGCCGAAATTCATTTCCTTTTCTCTGCTACAATGGCCGGTTAGACTGCAGCAAAGGAACAACCAAAGTCACCATTTCTTTTCTTCTAAAACTCAACCAAATTCCTACCAAAACTTCCATAGATTCTCACCAAACTTCACATTCGTTTAGCTTTTCACTTGGACAACAACTTAGGCTGGAAAAGGGAGGAGTTTCACGGCTGTCTTCAGGCTTCATAGGGACCGAAATTTTCTGATTTGAACAGCCATCAAAGTAGGTAGCCATCTAACTTCTTAAACTTGTTTATGGAGTTTGATTTACGCATTTGAGTTGGAATCTTTACTTTAGTAGCTTGTATTGTTGGAAAAAGTGGGCTCTATGAATTCCCA